ACAGACTTCAACGAGTGTTTCCAACTCAGACAATCCAACCTTCACCCACAGGCATTCAAGTAGTTTATCACATAAGCATCTAGCCACATGGTAAGCATGCTGTCATGATAGCATTCACACGCATGAGATATGCTAAAGCATAAATGCTTACCGAGTACTCCGAGCCAAAACAATAAACTAGTTAGCCAACATGCATGGTCCTAGTTCATGTCAAATTGACTAATGCAACACATACAGGATGCAATTAGAATAGGCTCGGCTAACCTAAACATGGCATGCGAAAATGCACAAGTAGCATGTATTCAAGTTAGATTTGAAATACTAATGCAGTTAGCATGATACGCCGAGCCCGGTGCATGCAATACTGATGAATGATGCACGCATGCATAGCATAAGGTATGCTAAATTAAACATGTCCTTTTACTAACCATCAAAGCAGGTAAATAAAAGGGAAGAAAGACGTGGGGTTGGAAGACATACACACACTCACGCACACTTATTACATAATTGCCCTCACTCAGAGGGTCCAAATAAATATTACAGTCCGAATAATAAACGCATAAATTATTACAGAATTTCTAATTAATTAACAGAATGGATGCAAAAAGAAAAGGTGGCCACAGCCCCCGCCTTGGGATGTGCGAATGATGCATGCTCGAACCCGTCTCGCCCGGAAAGTCCGTACCATACCACTGCCGCCTCTGTTGACACTGCCCTGCTTCTCTGAAAATTGCCAAAGTCCTGGAACAGGTCCCCTGAACACTGTGGAACACCATCGGCTGAAGGAAATGTCCACCGGCCATTGCAAACACCCATCGGCTGTTTATGAAGTTATCGGCTCAAGAAGGATTGCCGGTCGGCACTAAAACTGCCGGTCGGCAGAAACTTCCTGCAGAAGACAATTTTGACAGCAGCAGAGGACAGATAGTATATGGCATGGGATTTCAGGCATATGTGAGCATGGTCATGTTCCCCATCATGTATTGAACTCAGGGATGCATGGCCCTCGATCCTCGAGCCATCAATTGTGCATGATAGCCTAAGAGATCAAGCTTGCCATTTGATGTAGAAATGCATGCAACACACAAATGAGGACCAAGACCCTCTCATGTCGAAGTCAAGGGCCCCGGTGACCGAGAGTTAAGACGCGTTACATCACTTATAGTATGAACGCTCCTTAACCCTCACACTTGGTTTAACACCCCAAACCAAGTAATGCAATGCATGTTATGCAAACATGACTCAAAGATATAACATGAGATTAAGATGCAAGGCATGCCACATGCCTTAGGCATGCAAGATGCAAATGCAATGCAAACATGGACGATTTAAGCAATAGGATCATCATGTTACAACACCTAATGAAGCAATCATGCAACAAACATGAGACAAGCATGTAATGGTGGACTAAAACCATAAAGGGGCAGACCTCAATCCACCTCAAAACAGTGGCCAAAAGTATCCAAAATGGTGGATAAACACTCATGCCAACATGCAAGTTAAAGGACCTAAGGCTAAGGCACAAAAAGGGGGCACTTTACTTCCACTAACATGACCATTGATGGCATGAATTAGACAAGCAAAAACAGAATTCTAGCATGCAAAAATGGACTCCAAACCCACTGATATGGCAGCTCAAATGGCTCCAATGAGATGCATGCACCAAAACTCATTTCTAGGCATAAAAGGACACATCCTCAAAGCATGAAAGAGGTAACATATGCAGACATACAAACATGATTTATGGGCTGAAATATGATCCTAAATGATGCCAAATCATGAGGATGGTCTAAGCTACGCATGCTAGAGGCCAATATACTCAAGGCTTACAAGCCAAAACACAAAGAGATGACACCAAACATGGCAAGCATGACTGAAACAGATGGCCAACAGGCCTTAAACATGGTAAAGTAATGCCAATACCTTCATGAAATTAGGCTAACACATGCAAGAATCATGACCTAAACACAAGATGCATTTCTAGGCCAAATAGAGGAATGTAAAGCAAGTATGTTAAGCATGCAAAAGGGCACAAATCCGACCAAAAACAGAGATAACATGTGACCTAGAGACACCAAAAAAAACTCTGAAATAGGGCCAAAATCAATCAAGCATGCATGTTGCCCTTTAAGCCAAAAGGCAAGGAAATGAGGCAATGAAGGGAGAGGGGTGTCCCTCCCCTATACAAGACTTCAAACCACCTTCCTTACCACTGAAAATCCACTGGTTTTCAGTGGTGAGAAGACTAAGACACTCAAGCAAACAAAGCCTCACAAAGGAAGCACCAAAAGGGCCAAATAAGGCCTAAGAGGGTGAGTTTGAACTCAAACCACAAAACACCCTTAACGAAAGCCAACTATCAATTGCTAATGTTTTAGTCATTGTCCATGGTTGGTTTAGTGTATTTCTACTGGGCTGTGGCTCACCCTATATGGGGATATCATTTTCAGGTACAGGAAGCATGCCACCTCCAAGGACATAGCTTGGGAGGCTAGAGGCGGACATACTTTTTGTTGTTTTACCTTTTTGATGTATTACATGTAAATTCAAGCCAAGGGCTTAATGTGTACGAGTTAGTACTCTTTTGATGTAACCAAGTGTTAACTTAGAAAGCTGTAAGCCTGTAGGGCATTTGCTTTTGTTGTTAACATGTAATACTTTTGTAATGAAACTTTGATAAATGAAAGAATGTGAAACTTTTAAATATCAATGCATGTCTTATTTGTTGGGATTAATGTTATTATTTTGAGGGCGTTACAATATATGTATATAAGCTCTGGTTTTTTAGGTTTAAAACTCCCAACCTTAAACAATAGAGGAGGAGGGCTCTATATATAGGCTAAGAAAATGGTTCTTGGCTTCTCCAAGAAGCCAAATGAAAGGGGCAAAAGGTGCAAAGGAGTCTAGGCTTCTTGGAGAAGCTAAAACAGCTGGCCAAGCTTCTCCAAGAAGCTTAGCCAAGGGTTCATCCTTCTAGAAGGAACCAAGGGGTTCAAAGGCCCATACCGGCCAAAAACCGCATGGGGAGGAGTGATGGTGCATTTCAGCTGGCACAGCTGGCATGCACCATGCCTTAAGGGTGCAAAGGAGTCACATCGGCCAGCAAAAGATGTCACCGGCAAAATAAAGTGCCGATCGGCAGTATACTATGTCGACCGGTCATTTATTTTAAGAAACCATGGCCGGTGGCACCCCTAAACAGCCGATGATGCTAGGGGAAGGCCGGTGGAATGTGAGGGTGGCCAACAAGCCACTCTCCTCTCTTCAAGGCAAAAACACAAGTGTTTGGTGTCAAAACCAAACACGGAACAGTCAGGTCGAGAGATCCTGAGGCGAAGCGCGCGGCCAAGACTTCCGGGAACTCAAGACGAACACAAACATGGATAATCACCGAGTGTTCAAACGATGACGTCCAAGTCTTGAGGACGGTCAAAAATGGGGTGTCTACAGATCCACCAGAATTTTCTTCCGAAATAGTCCCTTATTCCATTTTAAATTTTTTTTAACTACTAATCAAATAGTTTCTGGCTTGCTAGTTGACTGTCAACTGCTAATTTTTTAGAACTTGTTTTTGAGGTTTGAGATCCTCAAAAAACTTAATTTGAATCATCAACTTTGTGTTGTTCAGAATAAGCTTAAAACAATGCTTCTATTCAATTTTGTAGAATGTTTCTAACAGTATACTTGAATCACATTTTTTTTTTTGACCCTACTGTTATTCGCCCCCTTTCTTTCTTTCTTTTTTTTTTTTTTTTGCTTTTTTGCTATTCTATTATATCAATAGTGGTTGTATGCTCATATCATTTTGTGCATTCCATACTAGTTAGGTTTATCCCTCCCCCTAACAATCCCATTTATGGTGATTACCACTATTCCTTATACTTGCATAAGTATTCTACAGTGAGTTTTCTTATAAACAGAGTCTTAAGAAAATGTTTGTTATAGTCTGGATCATAAACTCATTTTATTGATGTTTCAGACTGGGTTTGTCATGACCAATTCAACCAGGGGTTTAATTTATGATGAGCATGTGATATCCTCATTGCTTGGTTTTATTTAGTTTTTTGTCATAACTCATATATATATGAGTTGTGATATGTATCTGTAAAAAAATTCAAAGAATAAGAATTCTTGATTCTCATTTTCTTCAAAAGAACTGTAAGCATTAAATTTAGAATTTAATATTGCTAGGTTTTAACATATATACTATACTGTTGCTTTTATGGAACATCAAACTATAGACAAAATAATAATAATAATATTAATTTGAAGCATCAACTAAGAAAATATCAGGTGTATTAAATTAAAAGATTTTGTATATACAATTGTGCATAAATTTAGTTTTAAAAAAATTTGGTTTGTCTGTTTACTTAATTTGTGCGTGTGTTTAAAAAAAAAATGGTGTTTATATTTTTGTGTTTATGTGTTTATAATTTATTATGTTTTCATATAATTTATTATGTGTTCGTATTTTGGTTGGTTGGTTTGTTTGTTTGCACTATCACAAATGTTCGCAATTTTTTAGACTTAATAAGCTTTTGTTTGTTTGTTTGTTTGTGTAGAAATTCAGTATTTAAAATTTTGATTTTTCTATGTTTGTTACTTAAAATAAAATTCAGTGCTCTTAAAAAATAATATAAAATGAGTGTCTTGGATTTTTTTATCTTATCAACTTCAATTGTTTAGACTTAGACTTAGACTTAGACTTAAATAGTTTAGGGTTTTCCCTGTTTCACTTTTTCAAGTCCTCTGTCAACTGGATATGCTTCATTTTAGTAGTCATCTTGGGCATGTAATTGATCGTATATATGTATATGCATATCTTAGCTTGGTGGCGGGTTGTCGATTTTGCCAAGATAAGAGGCTTTCTTTCCATAATTTTAGCTTGCTAAATTTGTATCAAGGTTCTACCTCACTAGATTCATTTGTTGGAAAATTGGTTTATACAAGGCTTATTTTGGGCCAACTTTAAGGCCAAAATTGAGTGGGCCCCAAACGTCTTTTGGGGTGGGTCCAAAGAGGTGATGTGTTCCTTGCCACATGGCAAGTCACACGGTAAAGACGGTTCGTCAAAACCATTTATGAGTGAATGGGAACATGACGTCGTTTTCGGGTTTAACATTAATTTTTTTTTAAGACAAAGTTCTTTTGAATTTTTTCAATAAAAATTATTGTGGGAATATAATTTAAACATAAATTTGGTTTTGGTTTCCTTAAGGGATTTCCTTAATTTAATTTAATTAAACTATTCAAATAGTTTAATAATAGTATTCCAACAATTGTAACTGTTTCACCAACGGCACCTTTTTCAAATTGTTTGGAAATTTGTTCTTAGCAAACGGACAAATCAAGTTGCACCTGTTCAATTTTATTGTACACCTTTTGCCTTCAATTTGATACTTTTTCGGGTCTAATTTTTTGCCTATAAATATAGATACATTTCTAGCAGTCAAGACCATCCGAAAATCAGTCTAAATTTTGTCTCATTGCTGTCCAGAATTTTCTACTTTTGCATTATTCTTCATTTTAGATTTAGAATAAAAATCAAAGAGAGTATAGAACACAAGGTTTGGTTTGACGTACAAATTTGTTTGGTGTGCTATAACAATTTTGTGAAGATCATTGTATCCTGGGAGATAGACGTCACTCAACCGTAAGCACTGTAGCGGGGCGAATCTGTCTTAAGGACAAAATGTCACACACTCGACTTGGTCTTTGAATTATTTATTCAGTTCTACAAAATAAATACTGTAAGTTTTATTTATTTTTTTTGATTTAGTTTCCATTTATTTTATTTACACAGAAAATTGTTCCAACAATCTTAAGACAGATTCAAATTATTCTGTTTACAGAATTTCTCGTTTGTTTCCTTTTCTCTTTCTTCTTTTAAGAAAATTATTTTCTGTGGATTTACAAAATAATATTCTGGTTGGAAAAACAAATAGTGATTATATGCTATTTGACAGATAGTAGTAATATACTGTCTATTTTCTTTGACAACTAGTAGTATGATACTGGTGTCATTAACAATTCAGAATATATTTTTGTGAAATTTTTTCAGAAATTAATTTTGGGTGTTTAGAAATTATTTTCTGAGTTTTCATTACTTAAAATTCTGTTTTAGTATTTTAATTATTGAAGTGTTATAGAAATTACTTTTCTGTGTGGAGTTAATTTGGTTAAATAAAATTTTATTTTATTTCCAAATTAATTGAAAAAATAAAAGTTACATTCTTGTTTCTTTTATTTTTACAGAATTTAATTCTGTAAATTTGGTTTAATTTTCTGTGTAGTGTAAATTCTAATTATAATTTTGTTTTATAAATTAGAATTGATGGCTACTGAAACTAATGCCCAAACAAGTACTACTGTGGTGGCTGCAATTGCACCAATCCCCTCTCCTGTGGTAACAGTACTAGTAAATCACGGTGAAAAGCCAGAGAAGTTCTTAAGAACTGACTTTAAAAGATGGCAACAGAAAATGTTGTTCTATCTTACAACTCTGAACCTGGCTCGTTTCCTCCGTGAAGATGCTCCTATCCTGAAAGAGGATGAAACCGACCGGCAAGTGGTTGCTGCGGTTGATGCTTGGAAACATGCTGATTTCCTTTGCCGGAACTACATCTTGAACGGACTTGACAACACATTATACAACGTCTACAGTCCTATCAAGACAGCAAAGGAACTTTGGGAGTATTTGGAGAAAAAGTACAAAACGAAAGATGCTGACTCAAAGAAATTTGTGGTTGGTAGATTCCTGAATTTTGTAATGGTTGATTCAAAAACTGTGATTAGCCAAGCTCAAGATTTCCAACTCATTCTGCATGATATTCACGCAGAAGGCATGTCTCTCAGTGAATCCTTCCAAGTTGCAGCCTTAATTGAAAAATTACCAAAAGGCCGAAAAGAATTCAAGAACTACCTCAAACACAAGCGCAAAGAAATTTCTATGGACGAATTAATTGTGCGTTTGAGGATTGAGGAGGACAATCGCAATTCTGAAAAGCAGGCTGGTAAGCATCCTATGGAGTCTAAGGCAAATGTGGTGGAACATGCTTCAAAAACCAAGAAACGAAAGTCTTCTGGAGAAAGTTCATCACAAGGCTCTAAAGGGGGGAAAATAAAAAGTACAAGTTTAATGGCAAATGTTACATCTATGACAAAGAGGGACATCGAGCCAAAGATTGTCGTAGCAAAGGGAAAAGCAAAAGAAGAACAAGCAAGAAGCTTGCTCAAGCTCACATGACTAAAGTGGATAATATTTCCAATGGTATAGATGATATCAATCTTTCTGCAGTTGTTTCCGAGGCAAATCTTTTCGGAACTCCGAAAGAATGGTGGGTGGACACTGGTGCTACTCGCCATATCAGTGCCGACAAAAAGATGTTCACATCTTATTCTACAGTGGACAATGGTGAACAACTTTTTATGGGTAACTCCTCAACTTCCAAAGTTGAAGGACAAGGAAAGATTGTACTTAAGATGACATTTGGAAAGGAACTTACTCTCAACAATGTGCTGCATGTACCGGACATTCGCAAGAATTTAGTTTCCGGATCTTTGTTGAGTAAGAATGGGTTTAGGCTAGTTTTTGAAAGTGACAAGTTTGTACTTACCAAAAACGGGATGTATGTAGGAAAAGATTACATGTCTGATGGCCTTTTCAAGTTAAATATAATGACTGTTGTACCCTCAATTATTAATAAAAATACATCTTCTTCTTACTTGCTTGAGTCTTCAAATTTATGGCATGGTAGACTAGGACATGTTAATTATGGATCTTTGAAATCAAATCTGTCCGAAACAGTACAACAGTTCTGTTTGAATTTTACACCTGTTCGAACAGGAATTCTTTGCCTGTAAATACCTACTGTTCCAGCAGTCTTGGGGTATCCGAAAATCAGTCTAAAAAATTCCTTTTGCTGTCCAAACTTTTATTATTGATGCATTATTTTTCATTTTAGTTTTAGAATAAATTTCAGAGAGTTAGAACACAGGTTTGGTTCACCAAACAAATTGTTTGGAGTGCTACTACAATTTGTAAAGATCATTGTATCTTGGGAGATAGACGCCACTCAACCGTAAACACCGTAGCGGGACAAATCTGTCTTAAGGACAGAGTGTCACACACTCAACTTGGTCTTTGAATTTTTAATTCAGTTCGATAAATAAATACAGTACGTTATTTATTTATTTGTTTGGCTTTATTTCAATTTATTTTATTTACACAGAAGATTGTTCCAACAATCTTAAGACAGATTCGAATTATTCTATTTACAGAATTTTTCGTTTGGAAAAGGGAAAGGGAAAAGGTGTGTGAAACTATGTGAAATATAGGTATGATTTATTCACATTTCACCTACCGTTTCCATTTTCCTTTCCAAATCCCCCAACCAAACACAGCATTAGAATAATTCTCCTTCACTGATGGTTTTCCGATTTGACATTACGCGAGATTAATCACTCTTTAATCGAGTTGTAGAGCAAGAGAGATTGATCGAAAACTTTGAATAATATTTTTCTAAATAAATGCGATTAATTTCTGGACTCCTCATCTTTTTCTTTTCCTTTTTTCTTTTGAACTTGATATCCGATCTACTGGACCGACTAATTTGAGGGACCAAACTCACTATGCACTAGTGGGAGACCCAATTAAGACCGGAGCAAAATCTTATATGGACTGACCTCAATGAATTATTTACATTTAGGAAGTTTTGAACCTGATTCCTAATTTATATTCTCTTCTCAAGAGCTAGGACTTAAAATCAACATTAGTTATGATAAATTAAATTCCTTTGTTATATTATTGTCTAAATTTTTTTAATTTTGTACTGTAATCCCATGTGTCATATATATAAAGGGCAGTCACTTTAAAACAAAAAATAATGTAAAAGTGTTTTTTTTTAAGTGTAAATTATATTTTACCTCCTTTATATTTGGTTACTTTCTCACTTGGGAATTAGTGGACTTACCACCAGGTTGTAAACCTCTTGGATATAAGTGGATTTTCAAAAGGAAAATGAAAGCGGATGGATCAATTGACAAATACAAGGCAAGACTTGTAGTCAAAGGTTTTAGACAAAGAAAAGGTCTTGATTACTTTGACACATACTCACCGATTACTAGAATAACATCCATTAGAATGCTAATTGCCATTGCATCTCTATACAATCTAGAAATTCATCAAATGGATGTGAAAATCACTTTCTTAAATGGTGAGTTAAATAAAGAAATTTACATGGAACAACCAGAAGGGTTTTCTATTCCAAGGAAAGAAAAAAAAGTGTGTAAATTGGTTAAATCATTATATGGTTTAAAACAAGCGCCAAAGCAATGGCATGAGAAATTTGACAAAGCAATGATGTCAAATGGATTTAAAATTAATGAGTGTGACAAATGTGTTTATATTAAAAACACAGACAAAGGTTATGTCATTATATGTCTTTATGTGGATGATATGCTCATCATAGGTAGTAATAATGATATGATTAAAACTACTAAAAAAATGTTGAATAAACATTTTGACATGAAGGACATGGGCATTGCTGATGTAATTCTTGGTATAAAAATTACTAAAACATCAGAAGGATATGCTTTGTCACAATCTCATTACATTGAGAAAATACTTGACAAATTCAGCAAAAATGATGATCATCTTGCTAGAACACCTGTGGATGTTAATTTGCATCTTTTTAAGAATGTACTGGAAAGTATTTCTCAATTAGAGTATATCCAAATTATTGGAAACTTAATGTACTTGATGAACTGCACTCGCCCAGATATAGCTTATGCAGTAAGTAAATTAAGTAGATATACGAGTAATCCGAGAGTAGAACACTGGAAAGTAATATAAGGGTTTTTAGGTATCTCTGATTTACTCGTAACATTGGGCTTAATTATACTAGATATCCAACAGTACTTGAAGGATACTGTGATGCAAATTGGATATTGGATACAAGAGACTCAAAGTCCACTAGTGGGTATGTCTTTACTCTTGGTGGGGCGACTGCATCTTGGAAATCTTCCAAACAGACTTGTATTGCTAGGTCTACTATGGAATCAGAATTCATAGCTTTAGACAAAACAAGGGAAGAGGCAGAATTCCTTGAAGATATTCCAATATGGCCAAAATCGGTGCCTGCTATATGCATACATTGCGATAATCAATTTGCAATAGGTAGAGCACAAAGTCATATGTATAACGGTAAGTCTTGACACAATCGACGTCGACATAATACCGTAAGACAACTACTCTCTAATGGAATTATTTCCATTGATTATGTGAAGTCTAAAGACAACATAGCGGATCCACTAACCAAAGGGTTAACAAGAGAGTTAGTTGAGAATTCATCGAAGGGAATGGGACTAAAGCCTATTAAATAAGTGTTATCACAATGGCAATCCAACCTAGTTGACTGGAGATCCCAAGATCTAGGTCCAAAGGGACAACCGAGTTGTGAATGATTCAGAAGGATCACTGGGGAGTTAAACTCCTACCCATTTCTATGCTGAAATAGTGATGACTGTAGAGTTTTAGGTTAAGTAAAACTTTTAATGATTCTTATATCTAGGTTAACCTAGTGGAGTATAGCAGGATACTCTTCATAAGAATCACCTATATGAGTGTGAACTGGGCCGGTTTTATGAGATTTATGAAGGGCTACAATTCTTTAGAACACTCATGAAAGACCAGGTTGTTCAGGGCCAAAATGAACACAATAGTGAGAACTAAACTGTGTCTGGAGATATACTGTGTGAGTTCTATTGTCTTGGTTTACACAAACGACTGAACAATTCAAGACATCATGTTCACTGTTTAGCTAGTAAATCCGATAGTGTCTCACAAGGGAAGGTTCAAAGCCAAAAGCTACCTATCCTTTGCAGAATATTTCTAATTTCTTTACTCTCTTAATTTTAGATCATGTTGTTGCATTTTCTCTCCGTCAAATTCTATTCATGTGGGGGATTG